GGCTTCCAGACAGGTAAAAATACAATAACATATACATATAACAAAAAATAAAAATATACAAAAATAGACATTAAACAATAAACAATGAACAGTAAGAAATAAACAATAAGCAAATTCTTCAAGATGGCAAAAATAACAAAGAATAGATAAAGAAAGAAAGGTTAAGTGTTATCTGGAGGGAAGGCCTGCTTAAACATCCACGTTTTTAGATGGGTCTTAAAAATACCCAGCGAGGGGGCCTCACGAATCTCTGGAGGCAAGTTGTTCCAGATACCTTGCTTCACCATGGCAGGATCTGTCCTCACAAGACAGTTGTAAGAGCACTAATGAAAAAGCCCTCCTTGAACTCCACCATGTCATCCAGTCTCCAATATGCCAGTTTTGGGCAAAGAACTGTATTGTATGGTGGCCTCCCAGCTCTATAGAGTCCTGGATGAAATTAATGATTTAGATCCATTATTTAGATGCAATCTGGTTTTAGGTCTGGGTAGGGGCCAGAAAACTTTGGTCATGTTGGTGGATAACCTATAACAGCAATTGGACATAGAGAGAGTGTCTCTGTCAGTTCTAGACTTCTCAGCAGCTTTTAGTGTCATTGACCATAATATTCTTTTCTTGGTTCCTTTATCTGGGATGGGAAGTGTGGCATTTTCTTACAGTGTCTACAGTCTTCTTTGGAGGGCCAATGTCAGAATGTGGAGTTGTGAGGACTTTTGTCTGACACTTAGGTTTGATGCTGTGGTGTCCCTCAGGTCTCTGCCTTGCCCCCTATGCTATTGAAAATGTACATGAAACCACCTTATTAAGTTGTCGGATTAGGGAATTGGGATTCAGTTTGTACTGGATGGGGCTACACTTCCCCCTGAAGACTTGGATTCACAGATTGAGTGTGCTCATGGATTCATCCCTGAGCCTGAATACTCAGCCCCCACTGATGCCCTAGAATGCATTAGCATAGCACTATTAAAACTGATCTGGCAGTTGCACCTGTTCCTGGAGATGTTTGACCTGCAGTGACACATACCTTAGTAACATCCCAAGTGTCTTACTGTAATGCAGTCTACATGGTGCTATCCATCGGATAGCAAGCAAAGATCTTTGTATTCAGGTGTGCCTTCAGAAAAGTGACATATTGATACAATAAACAAACAAACTTGATATCTACAAGGTTTAATGCTGATGTGTTGTCCTATAACAGGAAGGATGTCAAGATGGTTCCTAGAAGCAGGCAAATGATGATGGGTAAGAATCTTCCCTCTTGGGCTACACTAGCATAATAAGCTCATTTATGCTTTTTTGAGGGTTACACTTTCTTCAGCATAATCTCATAGATGCCATTTACATGTGTACAGATCCATCCTTGTACTAAGGTACCATAACGTTTTGTTGTGATACTTGCCTGTTGGACACCTAGCCCATACCAGATGAAAGAGCCCAACTGCGTCTCGGAATGTGTTTTTAATTGATAGCCAGTACCTGCAGTGCATCCAGGGGACACGTATACTCTCCAATCAGCCTGCCTCAAATGTGGAATTTCAATGGGATGACACAATGTTGTCTCCCTTTTACTGCTCTCCTGTGTTTTTTTCATCCACTTTTTTTAACCACAAGATGGAATAGTTGCAGAGTGTATTGATTGGTAGAACTATGAGCTGTCTAAAAGCACTCCAGGTTCTTGGAAAAAGATGCCATATAACAGCCTTCACAAACCTGGTGCCTTCTAGGTAGGTTGGATTTTAACCTCCATAGCCAGGCCAACCTCCTTGCAATCCAGGCCACCAAAAAGGCACCAACTGCTGTGTATGGTAAGCACAATTCCAAGTAAAAAATTGACCATTCCAAAAAATAACTTGCCTCTTCTCCTTTTCACATGTAACCTCCTCCCGACCTTTCCTCATAATGAGAAGAGTATTGCTAGAAGAGACAGCAAGCCGATCAACTTAGCATCCTATTCTAATGGTGGCTTGCTGGCTCTTATTATTCATTCATTCATTCATTCATTCATTCATTCATTCATTCATTCATTCATTCATTTATATTCCTTCCATCCGTCTGTCTGTCTGTTTGTCTGTCTGCCTGTCTGTCTGCCTGTCTGCTTGCTTGCTTGTTTCTTTGCTTGTTTGTTTAATGAGCTTCTAGACTGCCCAACTTAGTGAGATACTCAGGGCAGTTTAATTAAGCAAAACATACAAACTTAAATAATAAAATAATGCATAGATAATACTACAAACAAATAAAAACAAAAGCAAGAAAATGACCGAGGATTGGAATCCTCCTGTATGAGCCTACCTGGTTATTAAGATAATCAGGGGAGGCCCTTCTCTTGGACCCACCACTCTCACAGATCCAGTTGGTGGGGACACGGGAGAAGACCTTCCCCATTGCTGCTTCCAGACTTTGGAGCTCCCTCCCATGGGAGGCCAGGCTGGCCCCATCTTTGCTATCCTTTTGCAATCAGACAAAGACCTCTTCTGTTCAGGCAGGCTTTCCTTCAAATGTCTGGTTGGCCAAGGGGATTCTTGAATAGGAGCATTTTGTGCTTTAAATGTTATTTTTGTTTGTCAGTTTTTATTATGATATCTGTTTAAAGCTTTTTTTAAAAAAAAATGTAATAATTTATTATTTAGCTGTCAACTTTGTGTTTTTAATTTTGTAAGCCGCCTTGGATCCATTAGGAGAAAGGCAGCATATAAATGTTTAAAATAAATAACATGGTGCTGGGTACCCCACTAGGACAACATGATGACATATGTGCTCCTTATTTTCTGTCCCAATGAATGCATTCAGGTTCAAATATATTTAAATACTGTATATCACTGAACATAGAGGTATTGGCTATGATAGCCAACTGCCTCAAAGGATTTCTCTGATCCCCTTTTTAAAACCACCAGAGCCAGTGTGGCTTTATTTGTGACAAAGTTTGGATACGAAAAGGGAATTCTTGCCTGTGACTTCTTATTGCCCCTTCCTGCATCTTCCTTCAACAGCGCTCGTGGATACTGTACAGCAGAAACACCAGATGCAGCTACACAGGGCGAGCTGTTTTAACACTGGGACTGTACTGCAGACGTCCACCATGGAAGACTTGGATGGACCTTGTTCTGTTGGGCAAGCGCCGCCTGAGGTTGTTCGTGGCTCAGAGACAACCTTGCCTGAAAATCATCTCCCAGGAGCCTTTGAGCAGAGTTCCACAGCACAGACTCAAACTCTGAGAGATTTTGAGAAGGCAAGTACAATGAAAAGGTCTCAAAGTTATAGTTTACAGTATGCATTTTTCCCTTGGGTTCTTGGGTATTCCCTGTATAGTGACTAACACAAAAAGAATATTAAAAAAACCTTGAAAGTAGGAAACACATTTTTAAAGTTATTGCTACTTCCTGCCAGCAATATGGTGTTTTCTGCATATCTTAAAGTATTGATGTTTTTCTTCCAGCAGTTTTCAATTCTCCTTCACTTGCACCTAATCCAGTTTTTTATATTTATACAGATTGAACAGACAGAGATGAAATACACATTTCTATGGTACCATTGCCTTTTGCAAACTATTCTGTTTCTCTATATTCTGTCCTCATGGTAGCTTCTTGCCCAGAATACAGGATGATTTAGGACTAACGAACTTGGAGAACAGCACCAAAACAAACAGAAAGAGTTTCAGCAAGGAAAAATATGAAGTTTTACTATTAAAGGGGGAAAATAGATGGAATTGGAGAATCATAGACCTGGAGACAGCCCATAAGATTATTGTATCCAAATTAAAGGGTATCTGATGGCTGATTGTCTAGCTTTCTCTTCAGTGCTTCAAGCACTCATATCTTTTCAAGGTAATTGGGTCCATTGTCACATTGCTCTAATATTAAGAAGTTTTTCCTGTTATTCCTCTGAAATCTGGCTTCTTATAACTTGAGCTCAGTATTATGTAACCTGCATTCTGGGATTATTAGGAATAGATCCTGCCCCCCCCCAAGTTTTCTTTTCTCAAGTCTAGACATATCCAGTTCTTTCAGTCTTTCCTCATAAGGCTTGGTTTCCAGTCCCTGATCATCTTTGTTTTCCTCCTCTGAATTTACTTCACTGTTAGCATCCTTCTTAAAGTGTGGTGTCACAGGAATTGGACACAGGGCTCAAGATGAAGCCTAAGCAGTGCCAAATAGAGGGGAACTAGTACTGCATGAGCTTGGGAGACTATACTTCTGTTAATGCAGTCTAAGATATCATCAGACTTTTTTGCAGCAGCATCACACTGTTAGCTCCTATTCAGCTTGTGCTCTACAGCAATTCCAAGATCCTTCTTGCATGTAGTATTGCTGACCTAGGTATCCATGATCTTATAACCATGCATTTTGGTTTCTTTTTCCTAAGTGCAGAACTTTCCAATTTCATTCTGTTGTTTTCAACTCAATGCTTGAACTTAATCAAGATTTTTTTGAATTTTTTCCTGTCTTCCAGGGCATTACCTATTCCACCCATTCTGTATCATCCACAAATTTGATAAGCATTCCCTGCACCTTTCATCAGAGTCATCGGTTTGAAAATGTTGAAGAGCACCAAGCCCAGGACTGAGCTTTGCAGTGCCTCACCTTACCTCCTCCAAGCTGGAGAAGGAGCACTCTCTGAATATAATTCTGTAACCAAATCTGTATCGAGTATAATTCTGTAACCAAATCTGTATTTACCCAATAGTTGTTCTGTCCAACCCACACTCAGTTAGCTTGCTAATCAGAACATCATTAGGACCTGCGTCAAAAGCTTTGCTGAATCCAGTTATATTATGTCTACAGCATTTCTGTTGTCTACCAGGGAGATGCACAAATATAAGGTGGGTGACAGCTGGACTAAAGGTCGTATTAGAGAACAAGCTAAACATGAATTAACAGTGTGATGCAATAGCAAAACAAGCAAACACAGTACTTAGTTGCATCGCAAATATAAGGTGGGTGACAGCTGGACTAAGAGAACAAGCTAAACATGAATTAACAGGGTGATGCAGTAGCAAAACAAGCAAACACAGTACTTAGCTGCATCAATAGCAGTATGGGTGGGCTCAGAGCAAGGGAAGTAATTCTGCTTTGCTAAGAACTGGAATACTGTTTCCAGTCCAGAACACTATGGACTTAAAAGGATATTGACAATCTGGAACATGACCAGAGCAAAATAACTGGGATGATATAAAATGTGAAAACCAAGACCTATGAGGAAACGTTGAGTGAGCTGGGTATGTTTAGCCTGGAAAGAGAAAACTAAAAGGTAATATGATAGCCATCTTCAAATATTTAAAGGGCTGTCATGTGGAACATGGAGCAAGCTTATTTCCTATCACTTCAGAGGGTACGGCCCAGAGTAATTGCTTCATTTTGAAAACAGGGAGATTTTGCCTAAACATAGGATGAACTTCATGACAGTAAGAACTGTTGAACAGTGGAATGAACCACCTCTGAGTGTGGTGGACTCTCCTTCATTGGCTTTCTAAAATGAAAAGCTCTTCATTTCAGGATTCTTCTACAGAATTGCATCCCTTCTATATATCCCTTCAGTTTATTGTTTCCATCTTCTTTTCTTGATCAGATAACATATTCCCTGTTGATTTTTCAGCATCCCTAATCTTAGTTCCAATTTCTTAATTTAATGAATTGGATCTTACGGAAAAGATCACTTTATGTTTCCTCTTCTGTTGTTCTATTTCTTTACACTGACTATTCTGTTTCTCTCTACCTTAAAATCACTGAAATGTTACATTTAGCATTCTGTCTCTTTTTCTGTCAGCCTTTACATATACTTTCCATCTGTCATCAACTATTTTTACTGTTTCATTAGTAATCCATCAAGGCTTTTCTTTCTTTTGACTATTGAAATAGTCTTTTTGCATTCGTCCATGATAATATATCTGTAATTTTCATAGCATATTTGAGATAAGTCTTGTCTTTCCTTACTTTTGTAAGCCCCAAATCAAATGTCCTGGTGAAAAAACTAAAGAGAGCAATCATGCTCTGATATCGAGATAAATTCAGATCTGCATTGAGTTATTACTGTCCTTGATTCTGATTTCATGTTTGTACTATACACTGAAGTAGTAAAGGCAGAAAGACTGCTCTTTTTAAAAAAAAATCAGACCAGAGGTTGACTTTGGACAAAGCTTCAGCCTACCAATTCAATCTAGAACAAAACTTGAAACTTAGTACAGTAGGTCAGAATTAGAAGCCTGGAAATTCTAGAACGTACTGCATCTTCAGTCATTACTGCAAGTTCATACATCAGTGCAGACCTTATTTGGAGCTCCAACTCAATCCTTCATGCCAATTTTTAACGCTTGACTAGGCCCATAGAAAATAAGCAGGGTGCGGGAATATGTGATCAAATCAGATCCCTGTATTCTCTCTTTCCCCTGTTGTGCTGTGCCCTCATCATCTTACCCACACCACACCTGGCCTAGTCACAAGCTGTTTATATCCCTCTTCAGTGAGGTTGGCTGCCAAATTTGCTGCTTCTCTCAGAGCTGCTAATCTCTTGCAGTTGGTGAGGGACCGTTAGGAGGTGACAGTGGAACTGCAGAGACCTCCTCAACACAGCTCATATTACACCATGTGTGTGTGTGTGTTCGTGTAGGATGATCCTCTGCTAAAGATTCCTCAAATACTTCCTGGAGGTAAAAAAAGAAAGCAAGGCATACTCTGCTGTGAAGCTGAGCAGCCTCTACAGACAGATCCACAGGGCAGCTGACGCTCAGAAGTTTGAGCTCTTCCCCATTTCTCTTTAGGCCTCCCGGACCATGGCCCTGTAAACCATTTTACTGGCCTTTCCTTCCTTTCTTAGCTTCACAATGTTATTAGAGTGAAAGGGGTGTGAGAAGACTTCCACCCCATGGATCCCCAACCATGTCTAATGGATATCGTACTTTGTCTCAGCACCTCAATGACTTGAAGAAGGAAAACTTCAGCCTCAAGCTACGCATCTACTTCTTAGAAGAACACATACAGCAGAAGTACGAAGCCAGCAGGGAAGATGTCTATAGACAGGTGAGTCAAACTGGAATTGGGTGGCAGCCGACGCCACAGGTGGGGCTTGTCTGAATAAACTTTAGTTGTAGTTTTCTGGAACACTTGGTTGAAAATAAAAGAGTAAAATGGACCAGTCATTTCACAGGGAATGTGAAATCAAATAAAAGTGAGAAATTTGGAACTGCCTGCAGACTTTGTACAGGGCTAAGGGCATCCATCCTTCAGAAGAAGTGATTAAATATGTAAACTTTTTTCCCGTCTTTGTGGAAAAGCTACCTAAAGGTAAGCAGTAGAATGTGTTCTATAGGGAAGTAAATCAGAAAATGTTCTTAACATGCATTAAACGTATAAATCTAAAGTCTTAGTATTCATGGAAGAAAATAATGATGATGCCATTACAATGTAGAAAAATTCAGTATCTGAGCAGCTGAAGCCCACTTTTGGCGACAAACACTTGCAAGGATTCTCTCTGCTTATGCAATTTTATTTTCTCTCAATGGCTTACTATAATTAATGGACTTGGATATACATACATAGCAAGTACTGGCTAATGAATCCAGTCCACCTGAATGGATGACCTTTTTAAGAAAGTTGAACAGTTGGAATATAAACAGAAGTGTGACTTTAGACAGCAGACAAGCAAAGTCCTTGGTGGGAGAGTTCAAGGGCATGTTGTTCTTGTTTGCAAGAAATTGCTCTTGACCTTCCAAATGGTTCTGCCTGTTTCTCCAATATATCTCTAAATTAACTAATTTTACAAAATGCTGTGAATGTCTAGTAATCTTTACAACAGGAAAACTAAAGCTAATTTATCTGAAACTTCATAGTGGTCAGGAAAGCCTGAAGCAGGAAGCCTGAAGTAATGTGTTAAAAATGCAATGCAATGGTTTTCAAGTTGTGTTGTGAAGAAATATGATGATCCTCAGGCACTTGCTTGCCTGGAGTTCTCAAAGAGATGGTCAGAAATTGCGGGAAAGCTTCCCCAAAAAACAGCTTTCCAACCACTGCTTATCTTTCATTGCAGTTTGCTGCTGGCATGGGGGGGAGATGTTGGGTATGTTCCAGGGCATGCTCTCAATCTATTCCAGGTGGCAGCATTCCTAAGTAAGCCTCTTCAGTGCTCTGCCACAATTTATCTGGGGCTAGAATATGCCCCAGAATCCTTTACACTCTGTCGTGATATTTCAGCAGACCCAAAAGTCATATATTAGAGGTAGGATCTTAGTCGTGGCACTGAGGTTGGGGAATCAGCTTCAAGGGGAGCTGCACCTGCCCACACCCCCGTACTCATTTGGGAGGCAGTTAAAAACACAACTTTTGGGGGAGGATCTTCATGTTGGGGCTAGAATATGCCCCAGAATCCTTTACACTCTGTCGTGATATTTCAGCAGACCCAAAAGTCATATATTAGAGGTAGGATCTTAGTCGTGGCACTGAGGTTGGGGAATCAGCTTCAAGGGGAGCTGCACCTGCCCACACCCCCGTACTCATTTGGGAGGCAGTTAAAAACACAACTTTTGGGGGAGGATCTTCATGTTAACTCTGATCGTACTCATTTAGGAGGCAGTTAAAAACACAACTTTTTGGGGAGGACCTTCATGTCAACTCTGATTGAATTTCTCACCTTCAGTTTTGCTTCAGTTCGAAAATTGGCTTAGTGCCATCGGTAGACTATGATTTTGGCATTTAGTGTTTATTGCTCTATGTAGTTTGTTTTAACTGTTTGTAAACTACCTGGAATAGTACTTTGACACTAATGAGGTGGTATATAAATTAAAGTAAATAATAAATATTTTATTTTATTTATGTATTTAAAATATTTTTATGCCATCTTTCTCCTTAAAAAGGACCCAAGGTAGTTTGCATCATTAAAGGACAGTGCTTAAAGCAAACAGCAGTGAGTTTATAAATAAATATTTGAGGAGCACTATAGTAGCACATATTTACCTGACCCTGGATGGGAAGGCATATTGGGATTCCATGTCTTTCTCTGCCAGGCTAAGGTACATTTAAAGTCTTTTTCATATGATCAAAACAAAAAAACCCAAACTCCATACATTCAACTAAAGTAATGGTACTGTTACACATCAAAATACTCCTTTTCAGGTTTAGCATGCTAGAAATTGATTTTAAAATATTTATATACACAATGTACAATGCACCTTTTTTGGACCAGGAAGCGTTTTTCTGTTTGGAAAGTCATTTTTTAAAAAAACTAGTAGGTGCTTGTTTATTTTTACTTGATTATGAATGCAATTTTTAAAAAAATCATTTTTGCATATGTATTTACTTTTGTTGGAGTAAATTGTGTCTGTGGGGTTTAGCAAGTATTGGATTGCATGGCAGGCTCCCACGTTTCTGGACTGCGGGGTAACCTTGCAGTCCCATCTGTTGTGTTTTGTTTTCTTTCTGTAACACTGATCTAGCACTATCCCAATTTGAAAAAAAAAATGAAAATACAAATAAAACAAATATTCAAATGTTTCAAGTGGCCTGGAAAAATCACTTTAACCCCTACTGGCCTTCCTGCTCTTAATCCAGAGAAGTGGTGCATCTGGGGTAGCTGGCTTCCAGCTGAGGAACATAAGAGAAAAAGAGGGCATGGGGTTAATCTTGTAGTCCAATTGGATTTTTTAAAATCTGTAACTCAGAGGTAGTGTTATCAGTTGAGGGCGGGGAAATAAAAATCACACCACAGCAGAAGAATATGGCTTTTCTCTCTGCCACCCCATGAGCTCAAGATAGGGAGTGAGGTGGTGGCGGCGATGGTGGCAGTGAGTAGCTGTGAGAGGCAGATGGTGTGAGGGCAGGCAGACACAGGACACAACCCTCAAAAGTGGTTCCAGAACAATGTGCCAATAACCAGAGTGTCTCCCCATAGCTATGGCAGTGTGGGATTTTATTTTAGTGTTTTGGTGCAGACATTTCACTCTGAGAATGCATTGCCTTGGGTGGGCAAAACACAGGAAGCTGGAGCCCCCATTGTGCCAATTTTTGAACAATTTTAATAACGCCCTCAATCAGTATACCACACATCTTCCACCTTCATTAAAAGATGTCCCAGGAGCATCTGGGACACACCAACCCAGAAACCATGTGACTACCACATGATTTAAACTGGTTTCAGAAATCTCAGTCAAGCTCCCAATGTTTTCAATTAGCGTAACCACACCCTAAGATTTTTGTATCTGAATGTAGTTGGTAATCCCAGTTAGAGTAGAAACATTGATTGAATGGGACTTCTGTTGAGGGCTGGCTTCCCACCGAACAACAGATTGAGTGGGTCTACCAGTTGGACTTAGACCCTGGCCTTATATTGGTACTAAACCCAATCCAATGTCACTGATATCCCAAATAATCAGTGAAGATTTGTTCTCAATCGTATTTACCTTTTCACTATGTTTTTTCAGAATAAAACATACATTCCTGTGGTGGGATACGCATTCTCAAAAATATGAATTAATATAAAAAAGAAAAAGGTGGCTCATGTTGTCATGGAGTAGGGAAAACACCGTGCTTAATATTCAGTTATTTTTTATATTCATAAAAATGATGTTCAATAAAAGTCACATGATTTGATTTTACTTTATTGGGTTTTTTTATGTTCCCTTTCTACTGGTGAAGGGACTCAAGGCAATTCACAAATTATTTTAAAAAGTCAACTAAAACACAATAAATTATTACATTAAAATTAAAGGTATAATAATATTAAGACCATTTAAAACAAAATACCATAAAACATAATTAAGAATAATAGCGTGTAGCATTCTGAAATCATAACTTGTTCATTGCCCAATTCATTTCTTAAAAGCCAGTCTAGAAACAAAGGTCTTCATCTCTCTCGTAAGGACAAGAGGAAGGGGGATAACCTAGCCTTCCAAGGAAGAGGATTCCACAAGCAGAGAGCAGACACTGAGAAGGTCCTCTCTCACATCCTTACTAGATGTGCTTGTAAATGCAGTGGGACTGAGAGAAAGGTCTCCCCTGGGGATCTTAAGAGTTGGGAAGGCTCATATGGGGAGATAGGGTCTTTCAGATAACCTGGACTCACATTATTTGGGTCTTGTGGGTCCTTTTAAGGAGAAAGGCATGGTGAAATGTTTTACATAAATAAATCGATCCCAGCAACACACTGGCAGCCAGTGATGCTGTCCCAACAGGGAAATTACATGCTCCGTGTAACTCATCCTAGCAGCACCGCAACAAAGCCCCGCCTCTCAGTCTGGATGCAGTATTTTGGACCAATTTAAGTTTCCAGATGCACATAGAGCAATGATGATGAGCACTTATGGAAGCAAGCTGCCCTAGGAAGCTTCTTGTTGGGCTGATGTCAGCAAGGATATGGAGCTAACATCTTGTGCCAATGTGGAAAATTTGTCTCTAGAAAGCATAACTGAAGCTGAAGAATTTTCTTGAGACCAATCATTTTCAGCTTGCATTAAGGCTCTTCAGTACCAGCTGGTATTAAGTTTGCAACACAGTTATAGCCTGTTTTTTTTTTAAAAAAAAAATCAGCATTGTATAAAACAACCATGGAGGTGTGGCAGAATTAAAGAAACAGAATTCACAACCTTGCTTAGTAGTGCAAACTCTGCAGCTATTCCATTTCCTTTCCCTTTCCTTTTCTCTCCCCCTTATTTTGTTGCTGAAAGATGCTTTTCTGCAAGCCCTTGCAAGATGCAGAAATGACTACTGGCACCAATCCAGGAGTGGTGGTGGGTCATTTCAGATCACAGATTAACCCTGTTCATAGTAGCCACAGAATCAAATACTACTTCCCTACTTCTGGGCCAGGGCAGCAGAGAAAGGTTGAGAAGACACTGTTTGTGCACCCTCCCACATGTGCTGGCAGACTCATCTAACTATCCAGCTGTCCCCTCTTTGTCACATGGAAGCCACAGAAGATGCCCACTGGGTAAATCAGCACAATTTTGCAGATGGGGATCAAACCTACCATGGGGGTAAAAACTGACTTATGGTCCTTATCTCACCCTTTCACACTTTCAGTTTTGCATCCA